TTACCTTTTTTACAAGCAGCGATATTGATGGGAAATGAAATAAAAAAGCATGACCTCGGCAAAGATACCCATTTAGCCACAAAAAAAAAAACAAGACTTTGGTGGAATTAAAAAGTTCAGGTGTATTAAATGTTCGCAAATATAAAATCCGTAAAGACAATGTGGTCTCCAATTGCGACTCTTATAGGAACTTGATTTTTTTGAGAATTTTATAGTTATCTTGAAGCAAATTATAATTGTTTTTGTTTACAAACAAAATCTTAAAAGTTCCTAGCACCAAACTCAAACACACTTTTTTTGTTTGAAAAGGAGAAATTTTGTGTCATTAAAAACCATACAAAATAGTGGACAAGTAATCCACCAATAACAGGAAGAAACAGGAAAACGAGCACAGAGATCTGCAATTATGAGAAGAAACCAATCCTAAGCAAGACACTGCAGCCTTCAACAGCAAACTGTTTGAAAGAGACATGTTCCTAAAAATAGGAGAATAGAAGCCCATATATGTTCATAAAAGACTCATATTTGTGTGTTACCATGCACGCTTTCTCCACTGTAGGTAATGTGAAGAAATCCATCTTCATCCTTATTTTCCTCATCGATTGCAGACATCAAAGCACCTGTAACATTGGATTGATGAATTGTTACAACGACAACTTTGCAAGCAAGAATTACTATGCCTAAAACTAAAATGAGTTGCAACTCACTAGTGGGAGGTTCAGTGTTCTTGAAAAAGACAAATATAGACTTTCTTCTGATGAGCCCGACCGTGATCCGAATAAAATCAACAAATTCTCGAATAGGCATATCACCACAGACAAGAAATCTGCAGTCAGAAAAACAGGATTGACAATAAAACTATCTGAGAACCCCTTCATTTAAGATAAGCTACGAACAGCAATGAACTTCGAGTTTTCCTATGTAGTATTAAGTATGTTTTCCTCTTCCATATACTAACATGGAATATAAGATTACTGGATTGGCAGACTTCGCCACTTGGGTAACCAATTCATGCAAACCATTATAATAAAGACCATTCGTAACCAACCCTAGAACTTCACCTAATGTACTGAAATGTTTTCTCCCACAACTTTTTTTTCTTTTGTTAAAATGAAACTGTGTAGGAACGATACACATGACTAGATCCTATTTGTGTGCATATATATTGCACGAGCACATTAAAATGCACAACTGATGCAACGAAAACATAAGAAGCTATGAACACAAATGAACTTAGAGTTTGCCTTTCTTTGTAGTAATAAGTAGGTTTTCCTCTCTGTATAAATCTTATATCCACTTATGGAATATGAAAATTAGTTGGTAGGAAGCCTTTGCCACGTAGTTAATCAATTCATTCAAACCTTCACCATTAGGACCATTCCCTTACCACTCCTACAACTTCACCTAATGCAGTGAAAAGTTTTCCCCACACAATATATATAAATATATATTGGAAAAGTGCAACTCTAAATGAACACATCATGAGTCATGACTAGATCCTATCGATGCGCTATAGATTGCATGTACGCATTAAAATTTACAACTCACAATATAAACTTAACAATTATTGGGTCATGCTTTCAAAAAAAAAATTTCCTCCTTTCCCTTTATTTTTTCCTGACCAATTTCAAAACATATATCAAAAGCATAAATGAAATGAGAACAATTCTATTTGAATGTACAAACACAAATCAACATAATTAAAGCACAAGGGAATTCGAAACTAACTTCTCCCCGTCCGTGTCAGGAATGTCACTACTTGCATCCTTCTTCAAAATCACCTGAATGAAAGCTCAAATTAGAATAGAGGATATCTACTGAATGCATAGGAAGTAAACATATTTGATGCAGTGAAATTCTTACTGGTATGCGATTTGGGTGTGTCTCCCTCAAATAACGAGCATCTAAACAAGGACTATGGTCTTTGTGGCCATTCATTTGATTCCTTATTATCCTGTATCAAAAGCGTAAATGAAAAAAAGAAAAGAAAAGAAAAGAAAAAAAGGAATCCCATTCCAGTAAAATCAAGATAAGCAAAGCACAAGTGAATCAAAAACTAACCTCCTCCTGGGGATACCACGAATTTCGGTCTTCAAAGCCTTGTACACAATCACTCAAATTAGAATAGCACATCCACCAAATGCAAAGGACGTAAACATATTTGATTCAGTGAATTTCTTACCAAACGAAAGGCATCGAAATCAAAAGGGTCTAGATAAGTAATGGGCCATGGGCTAACATACGCCAATATTTTCCTTGCTTTTTTTGGTGATTTTCTGAACACATATCAAAAGCATAAATGAAAAGGAAACAATCTTTTCACATTGGAGCGATACAAACGAAGATTTTAAAGCATAAATGAAAAGGAAACAATCTTTTCCCATTGGAGCGATACAAACGAAGATTTTAAAGCATAAATGAAAAGGAAACAATCTTTTCCCATTGGAGCGATACAAACGAAGATTTTAAAGCATAAATGAAAAGGAAACAATCTTTTCCCATTGGAGCGATACAAACGAAGATTTTAAAGCATAAATGAAAAGGAAACAATCTTTTCCCATTGGAGCGATACAAACGAAGATTTTAAAGCATAAATGAAAAGGAAACAATCTTTTCCCATTGGAGCGATACAAACGAAGATTTTAAAGCATAAATGAAAAGGAAACAATCTTTTCCCATTGGAGCGATACAAACGAAGATTTTAAAGCATAAATGAAAAGGAAACAATCTTTTCCCATTGGAGCGATACAAACGAAGATTTTAAAGCATAAATGAAAAGGAAACAATCTTTTCCCATTGGAGCGATACAAACGAAGATTTTAAAGCATAAATGAAAAGGAAACAATCTTTTCCCATTGGAGCGATACAAACGAAGATTTTAAAGCACAAGGAAATAGGAAACTAACTTCTTTTTCCCAATGTCAGGAATGTCAATGCTTGCACCATTCTCAACAATCATCTGCATAGAGGCTCAAATCAGAACAGAGTATGCCCCCAGTGAATGTTTAGGAACTAAACAAATCTTATTCAGTGAAAGTCTTACCGGGGTCCGATGTGGATTGTTCTCTTCTGTTTGGGTCATTCCTAAAACATTTTAGCCCAAAAAATCAGTATAAAATAGATGAGAATCGGCAATTTCCGAAATAAATTCTGCATCTACGAAATTTTGAACAAATATTTAAAGAACTATACTGACCATGTAATTAACCCAAAAAAAGAAGCAAAAAACACATACCCTGAGGATATTCGTTCTTGAAAGAGCTTTCGGCCATGGTGAAACGCACGCTACAGTTCTCTGCCAATTTTCAAACAAGGAGACATCAAAACCACATACGAAATTTTGTTTCCTATAAATTAACTCACAACATCAAAGGCGAGGAAAAAGTTGTTGGTGGAAGTATTTCGCGAAAACATAACACACCAAAGATCGATTCGATTAGGGTTTCGGTAGTTGTGAACTGGGAAAACAACAAAGGATCAAAATCAATGAAAGGGAGAGAGAATTATATATACAAATACGATAGATTAATTTTACGGGTTTAATCTCGTGAACAGACCTGTTGGATCGTTTGGATCGTTTCCGATTCCAAGTTTTCAACACGACTGCAAGAAGTCTCTGTTTATATCTCCTTTTTAGTCGGCAACTCTTTTTGCGTCGGTTCACAATAGAACAGTTTTTTTGTTTTTTCTCTCTCTTATTTATTTAGTATTACACTGGCCTCTTCGCATGCGCTCCCGCGCCTATGAGAGGCTTTCTTTTTTTAAAAAAAAAAATTATGTTAGAATTAAAAAAGATAATGGGTAGTTGTGTTCCATAAAAATAGGATCCATTATCTGATTTTTCTTTTTTTTTAATTTTTTTTAAATGAAAAAGTATGAATTTACCATATTATCTTCATTTAATTAATAATTTCAATTCTTAATGTTTGTATTAACCAAGGGCATTTTCTGGTATTTTGAATGTTTCACCATTCTCTGCCTTTTACTTTATATATATAGATTCACAAATATTACTTCTTTGTCAAATCACAAATAATTAGGGGTGGGCATAAAAACCGATAAACCAAACAAATCGACCGAACCAAATCAAATCAAATCGAAAAATAAGGTTTTAAACGCTGGACTTAAACCGAACCGTTGACTTCGATTCAGGCTTCGAGTCTAAAATTTTTTGAACCTTTGGACTTGACCCGAACCGACCATTATTTAATTATAGGACTAACGTCATTTTAGTCCTTGGAGGTTTAGGGTCATTATCGAAATGGTCCCCTAGGTTTCAAATTCATCAATTTCGTACCTAACATTTCAAAAACTTACCAATTTACACCGGCTGTTACATTGACCGTCAGGTCAGACGTTCAATTATGACGTGGCAGTCGTGGGTCCCACCACATAATCTAACTAGCGAGTCGAAATAGTCCAGACGAAGGGCATTTTCGGGAAAAAACAATTTTGTTTTGTAAAAAAGGAAGTTAACAGTCTGCTTTGTTGCACCTTATATTGAACATAAGGCGAGAGGAAGCTGGCCAAAGGAAACTAGCGAAGAAGATCTAGAAGCGATTGGATGCCTAGAATGGATGAAGAGGTGCCGATGTGTTGGTGTGGCAAGGCTGCTACAATTCGAACCTCTTGGACAAATTTGAATCATGGGAGGCGATTTTCCATGTGTGCAGCAAAGGTACATGAGAATAATAAGGGTTTTAAGGGTTGCCAGTTCTGGGCATGGTTTGATCCGGAAATGTGTGAACGGTCAAAGGCAGTGATTCCTGGGCTTCTAAAATCGCGGAACAAGCTGGAGAAATCAGTGGCAAAGGCAAGACAAAGAGAAAAGATCGTTTGGGTGTTGTTGGTGGCTTCGTGGGTACTGTTTGCAAGCTTCATTTTGCCATTAAAAAATAGGCTGACTAACCATGAGATGTGGTGTGGTGGTAGCTCACCTCATTCCTTAACCATGAGGTTGAGGGTTCGATCCCCGCCCATGGGAATGGAGCGCATTTCGTGGCCAGCCGTTTACCTCAATTGGGAGAGCTCCCGCGGCAAAAGGGATTAGTCACTACTGTCGGCAGTGGATACCCTTGGGTCTCACCTTAAAAAAAAAATAGGCTGACTCATCAGCATGGTCATTGATAAATTTTTTGAGTTTATATCTAATTTTAGCAGTGCCAGTAGTGTATAAGCAGTAGAGAGAGTAGATGGTACATATATGACAGTGCAACTTAATCCATATGCTTTCGCGAAATTTGGGTTCGAAGGCAGATGGCATTTGCACTAGCAATTGAAGACTTGTGAGTCCATTCTTTTCCTTTCCATTCGCAAGATATGGGTGCGTCGTTACTAACCAATGAGCAGTCTGTTAGAATACACAGAATATTATCTGAGTAATTTGGATTGTTGGTTATGGAGCTCAATAGCTAAGAGAAAATGAACACACCAGAAAATGCTCAGAGAGCTTGGAGAGGATGAAAGCAATGAATGGGTCTGTTAACTCATTACCAATTCATGCACAAGTTGTGCAGTACAAATAATACCGTTAGGAGAGAATATTCCTCTCTTACATCAGCTCAATCTAGCCATCCAAACTTCTATCCTATGAGATAGAGACACAGGGCAACAACAAACACTCACACTACAAACTAATGCCTTAGCCGTCCATTGGACTATAATCCAATGGCTCACAATTAAGTAAACAGCTTAAACAAGCTTAATGGATCTAAACAAATATTTCAGCTAAATACACTTATATTTCAACACTCCCTTCTAAGTGTTTAGCTGAAATAACCCCAAGCTTTCTTCTCAAATACTCAAAATGATCTCTAGCCAATGCCTTGGTAAAAATATCAGCAGTTTGCTCTTCTGTTTGCAGTACAATAGATCGATTTCTCCATTTTGCAAGGCATCTCGGATAAAATGAAATCTCCTGTTGATATGCCTTGTCTTATGATGATGCACAGGGTTCTTGGTTATGGCAATAGCAGAGGTATTATCACATAGGATTGTAGTAGCACTTACTTGTTCTTCACCAAAATCTGAGAGAACAAAACGCAACCAGATTGCTTGTGCAGTAGCTTCTGCTGCACTAACGTATTCTGCCTCAGCAGTAGACAGAGCTACACTACTTTGCTTGACTGAAGCCCAAGAAAACACACCTGATCCAAGATTAAATGCATATCCAGAGGTGCTTCTCATGTCATCCTCACTTCCTGACCAGTCACTGTCACAGTAGCCAATGAGTCTAGCTTCTTTTCCTTTCTCATATGTAATGCCATAGTCAAATGTGCCCTGAATGTACCTCAGTACCCTTTTTGCAGTTCCCATGTGTTTTCTAGTAGGTCCATGCATAAATCTGGCCAAGAGACTTGCTGCAAACATAATGTCAGGCCTCCAGATGTACTCTTCATGTCATCTTCACTTCCTGCCCAATCACTATCACAGTAGCCAATAAGCCTTGCTTCTTTTCCTTTCTCATAAGCTATACCATAATCAGTTGTGCCTTGAACATACCTTAGTACTCTCTTGGTAGGACCATGCATGAATCTAGCTAGAAGACTTGCTGCAAACATAATGTCTGGTCTTGTTGCAGTCAAGTATAGCAGACTTCCAACAATCTGCCTATAGACCCCTTCATCAGCTTGTTCACTCCCATCTTCCTTGGATAGCTTTTCATTCATTGCAAGAGGAGTAGCTACAGCTTTACAGTCCTTGAAACCAAACTTATCCAGCAGTGTCCTTGCATACTTCTTCTGATGCAAGAAGATGTAAGATTCTGCTTGTATCACACCTAACCCCAAGAAATGATGAAGCAAACCAAGATCAGTCATTTCATATTGCCTCATCATTTCAGTTTTGAACTCCATCATCAAATCCCTTGAACTTCCAGTGCAGATAATATCATCTACATACAAAGAAACAATGAGAATTCTACTTTTTGCAATTTTCACATATAGTGTAGCCTCACTAGGACTTCTTTGAAATCCTGCATTTGTGAAATAAGAATTGATCTCATCATACCAAGCTCTTGGAGCTTGTTTAAGACCATACATATGTCTGCCGCGCAAATCTCACGGCCTGGAGTTCCGGGCCGAGGGGATACGCGTTGACACGCGGCTTTCTGCTTTTGGATGCGGTGCGGTTGTGCGCGGGCGTGCCAGCACGGTCTACCGTGCGTCGAGATGGTTGATGTGTATGAAAATGGTTAAGTGGTGCGCCTGTTTGAACTCGTCTCCTAATCAAACGATTGTAGCCGAGAGAGGAACTGATCTCGGCTGTTAGGTTCACGGCCTGAACTACAAGGCCGTTTAGTGATGGTGTTGGTGGTAGGTTTTGGGCGGTGCTCCGGCGCGTGGCTCGACGAGCGACGGTCGTATGATATATAGGGTGAATGAGCGAATAACAGAGATGGTGCTCCGGCGCCTTGAAAATCAAGGGTCGTATGATATATTGATGAATGGATTTTCCTTACAGTCTAACACTACTCCTAGGAAAGCAAGTAAAGATATTGAAAGTGCATTACAGGAAAAAATAAGTTGCTCCGTGGGAGGCTTTGGTTTGGTGTTTAAACCCATTGAATGTAGCTTGAGCCTTGTATTTATAGGAAGAGTTCTTGGAGGAGTACTTCGAGGCTGAAAATCCGCACGTTGTGCAGGCCATTATTGCCCAGGCTTACGCGAGGCGTCGCTTCGCATCGTCAAATGAAACGACGGTCTCTGGGCTTTCGACGCGTCATCATGCCCTTCAATTCGCGCGAGCCATTATTTTGCCTTGCTAATCGAAACGTCGGCCGCCAGGTTCTTGACGTGATTTCGCGTGCTCTGAGTGCGTTGTCAGGCCATTTTGTCTTACGAGGATTGTTGTGCCTCAAAAGAGGTTTCTTTTAAAATTTATAAACTCGCAAGCGCACGAATCGAATATAGCATAAGCGTGTAAG